GTTCCCGAGCCGTGTGCTGTATATTGGTGGTCTCTTGTTTCAGATTTTCGTTTAGTTGTTCAAACACGTCAAATTTCCTTTTATCTCGTCAAGCATGTCGAGTTTTTGTAATTTACATGTAAGTACATTGTCAACTTGTGCAATTTTGCTATTCATAATTTGAATGTTGGCAATGAGCATCTGCATGGTGATATGGCTGGTGGCCGAGAAAGGCGCCGACGGATGTGAGGGTGCCGGGTGGGGGTGGGGGTGGTGAAGCATACCCCGGGTATGCTGATGACGGCTGATTGCGATTGTTAGTTGTTTAGGGAAGTTGTTCACTAGTATATCAAATGAAAGACTACAGAAATACTCATAGGATGTCAGCTTGATATGTGAAAATCAGACAGGGTTTCGTAAAAAGTATTCAACTATTGATTACATTTTTGTATTTTACTCTTTGATAAATTTGACACAGATCATGAAACGTAAATTATATTGTGTATTTTTTTTACTTTGAAAAAACCTTCGATAAAGTATGGCGCAATGGCTTGTGGAACAGGATGTTAATGAGGGGAATTAATGGGAAAATGTTAACAATTAGTTTTAACATGTAATAAATCTTTTAATGGTGAATGGTCTGATTATTTTCCATGTGAAAATGGTTTGAGACAAGGAGAAAACCTATCTCCCTTTTTATTTAGTCTGTACTTGAACGATTTCGAAGAGTTTATGGTCCAAAATAACGTTCAGGGTTTGACAAACCTTGGTACTAAATTAGAAAATGATTAACATGTTTACATAAAGCTTTTTATTTTACTTTATGCTGATGATACACTACTTTTCTCAGACTGTCCAGTTGACTTGCAACTACAACTAAATGTATTCAGTGAATACTGTAAACAGTAAACAGTGGAAATTAAACGTTAATATAGAGAGAGAAAAAATGTAGAGTATTTAGTAAAGGACGTAAAAACAATAGAAATGTATATTTATTTAATAATGAGGTGATAGAGTTAGTGGACAATTTTACCTATTTGGGTACGGCATTTAGTCGTACTGGTTCATTCAATGAAACGAAAAAATACAATATTAAAAAGGCTACTATAGCAATGTATGACGTAATAAAGAAAGGTAGACTACATAACGTATCAGTTCATTGTATATATGATTTATTTGACAAGATTGTAAAACCTTAAGGTAATTGAACGTATACATTTAAAGTTTTGTAAATTATTACTAGGGTTGAAAAGTAGCACCCCTAATTATATGGTATATGGAGAACTAGGTACTAGCCCACTTGAAATAACAGTAAAAACAAGAATAATAACATATTGGTCACAATTGACTCATTCTAAAGAAAATAAAATTAATATTATATTGTAAAACTTCATTGCCATCACCATAATGTTGATGATAAATCGGTTCCATATATAAGCTTTATTAAACGTATTTTAAATGAATGTGGTATGAGTTACTTATGGAATGTCCAATATACTTCAGGATGTAATACCACATGGCTAAAGCATGTTATTAAACAAAGATTGTACGACCAGTATTTACAGAAATGGCAGAGTGATGTACACACTTCATCAAAAGCTACATGTTATAGGATTTTTAAAATAATTGACATTTTGAAAATTACTTAGATATTTTAAGTGATACAGATAGTTACATTTTGTAAAATTAAGACCAATCACAAATGTATTGTTGAAACCGGCAGATGGCATAATATAGAGTATAATGAAAGAAAATGTCCACACTGTAACAGTCAGCAAATTGGTGACGAATTCCATTACTTGCTGGAGTGTCCGTCACTATCTGGGTATATAACTTTATATATAGATAAATATTTTTGGACGAAACCAAATGTAATTAAGTTCTATGAATTAATGAATACTACTAATATAAAAACACTGAAGACACTTTGTACTTTTATCTGAATAATTAATAATAATATATGACCTCTTCGATACAAATGTGCATTTATTATGAAACAGTACTGTGTACGACCGACTACCAACACTACAATTTCTATATATTATATTGTAAATATGTTTCTCTATACATTGTATTGTGAAAGAGAATAAAGTTGAAATGAATTGATGTGAGAACGGCTGATGTACGTGCGCACCGAGTTGACTGGTGGGCGTACTGCTACATGTATGTACAGGTAAAGCACCTGTGAACGGGAGTTGATAAACCGGGTGGTTGACCGTACGGGAGTACGTGTGGAGTAGATCGATTGTCAATAGGCCCATTCTGATACATGCTATCAGAAATGTTCGATATATCCCCGAATTGTTGCCCGAATATATATACATGTGCTTCTGCCAGTATTTCTGATGTTTGTAGAACGCTATGTGGCAATGCGTCGGTCGTATAGGTACCTACAGCACAGGTTTTAGGGGGAGGGGCAGCCCGGTGTCCGAATTTCTACCTTTACGTTTTCTACCCATATACATATATATATGTTTTACATAGAGTTCATTTCGGGTCCACTGCGTTACAGGTACCACAGGAATACACATTTGCTAAAATATGTGACAAATTATGATTAAAATAGCTTAGAAATCAACAAAATTTTCATATTCACCGGAGCGTCGAAAGGAGCAGCTACCTGTCCGTCCTGTCATGCGCACTTCTCTTGTACAATGTGTTTTTACATTCTGCTGACATTCAGTGTGGACAAAACTACATTTGGGCTGAATATCCCTTTTTATTCCCATTTTTAAATGCATTCTATTACTTTTGATATATATATAATCTGGGGGTAAGTTCCATTTGGCGATTACCTGACACACACACACACACACACACACACACACACACACACCCTGGATCCGCCCCTGCTGATAGTTTTTCGAGTTGCAGAGTTGAAATTACCAGAGTTTTTTATTACGAAGATTCAGAAGAGCTTTGGCCGGGACCGGTGAAATACTTCGAGTTAAACGGGGTCTCCGAGTTATACCAGTTCGAGATAACGAGGTTCGACTGTAATTGAAAGTATTAATTTAACGGCTCAACGTATTAACTATATATTCTAAAATGAAAACAAAAAATATTACAATTATATATATATATATAAAGCATAAACACTTTGCTTCTTTAATATACACAAACGTGGGCCTCACGTGTACATCTGTGATACAAACGTTGTAACACCATAGGAGATACCTACCAAATTATATTTTGTTTTTTAGTGACTGGATTGAATCAGTCCGCTTTGAATACTAATGATGAACGCAAGTTATTTTAGATTCAAAATTTATAAAAAGCAAAATCAGTACTTTTTCGGCAAATATTAGCTGCAGTTTAAATTAATAGAAAAATCAGTGATATATAGGCGATTTTAAGCCACAGTAAAACATTTGCCTTTTATAAATGAAGGTGAAGGTATCCTATCAACGAATAATATTTTAAAACAATACATCTATATTAACTGCATGTTAAAGGCAATCTTAAAACTTGGTAAAAACATGGATGTTATTAGTAAAGGGTGAATATTTGACTGGACCAATGTTTACAAGATATACAGTTTGTATATTTAAGCATTGAACTGTTTTTGTATGGTATTTATGATCTATTTGAATGGCAAAGCTGTGTCATTCAAATAGATCATAAATACCATTAAAAAAACGGTTCAATACTTATATTTACGTTTTCTCTGCCTCTTATGTTCTTTTTTAACATATAATTTATATCTAAAATTAAAAATGCCCGCCTTATCGACAGTCCACACAATTTCGTTCAATAGTTTGAACAGCGTATTGTCAAACAAAGTAGTTCATTGAAATTTTAACAAACACTTCAATTTTATTCCACAATGCAGAATCAATACAATTGCGTATGGTATATATATACATGTAGGTTGATTTAAGTTTATCAATAGAACTCTGAGCTGAAAAAAAGATTTGAAATTGTTTCGATTTTTCCCCAGAACACATTTCGCGCATGGACAAATACAGTGAACACCGTAAATCCGACCTTGCCCTCCACGAGAGAGTTATTTTTGGAAGTTAATTCGAACTTTTCTCTTTGCTCACTTTTTTGAAGAATCCAGGCGTGAATTTATTTGTTGATTGTATAGGAACCTGACAACAGTCGGTATATTCTATAACAGCCTCGTTATTTGACATGTCGTCAGAAACTGAGGAACTGTTGATGCGAGACGCGTGAAACTGATAGCGTTTGAAGTGAGTGATCTTGCGACGGAGCACAGGTTCGTACCAAATGTCTGAAATGTTTATGTGTGCTGTGACTCATATCAGTAGGTCTGAAAAATGGGTGTCAGTAGGTCTATAAAATATGTGTATTTCAGACATTTGTAACGAACCCCTGTTGATCAGTGGAGTGTAACGGACGATGTTTCTGATAAATTGCATGAGCGTTAAAATTGTTTCCATTGCCGGCATTGGAGATTTCAACCGATGTGCATTTTGTACGATATTGCAGACCTTGGTCTTGTTTTCGTTGTAATAAAAGTGGTTTTTTTTTTTATTTTATTTTTTATTTTGCACATAAATTTACAATGACATTGTCAAAGCTCACAATGCCCAGCGATATTTCAACAGCCGTCATATTTATTAATATTAGATATTGTAGTTCCGGTGAGTGTTGTATCAATACGCTAAGAATTGTGCCTCGTGATGCATGGTAATTAAAGTCCTATCAACGACACAGCTTTCAAAGAGGCTATATAGTCACAATGCCATGCAAATGTAAATATATAATTATAAACCGTGGTATGAATATGACATAACGTACCTTAATATCCCTAGTGTTGGTTTGTAGACATAACGTACCGTAATGTCACTAGTGTTGGTTTGTATACATAACGTACCTTAATATCCCTAGTGTTTGTTTGAAGACATAACGTACCTTCATGTTCCTAGTGTTGGTTTGTAGACATAACGTACCTTAATTGCCATGCAAATGTAAATATATAATTATAAACCGTCGTATGAATATGACATAACGTACCTTAATCTCCCTAGTGTTGGTTTGTAGACATAGCGTACCTTAATATCCCTAGCGTTGGTTAGTAGACATAACGTACCTTAATGTCCATAGTGTTGGTTTGTAGACATAACGTACTTTAATATCCCTAGTGTTGGTTTGTAGACAAAACGTACCGTAATGTCACTAGTGTTGGTTTGTAGACATAACGTGCCTTAATGTCCCTAGTGTTGGTTTGTAGACCTAACGTACCTTAATGTCCCTAGTGTGGGTTTGTAGACATAGCGTACCTTAATGTCACTAGCGTTGGTTTGTAGACATAACGTACCTAGTGTTGGTTTGTAGACATAACTTACCTTAATGTCCCTAGTGTTGGTTGGTAGACATAACGTACCTTAATGTCCCCAGTGTTGGTTTGTAGACATAACGTAACTTAATGTCCCTAGTGTTGGTTTGTAGACGTAACGTACCTTAATATCCCTAGCGTTGGTTTGTAGACATAACGTACCTTCATGTTCCTAGTGTTGGTTTGTAGACATAAAGTGCCTTAATGTCCCTAGTGTTGGTTTGTAGAAATAACGTACCTTAATATCCCTAGTGTTGATTTGTAGACATAACGTACCGTAATGTCCCTAGCGTTGGTTTGTAGACATAACGTACCTTCATGTTCCTAGTGTAGGTTTGTAGACATAACGTTCCTTAATTACCCTAGTGTTGGTTTGTAGACATAGCGTACCTTAATGTCACTAGCGTTGGTTTGTAGACATAACGTGCCTTAATGTCCCTAGTGTTGGTTTGTAGTCATAACGTACCTTAATGTCCCTAGTGTGGGTTTGTAGACATAGCGTACCTTAATGTCACTAGTGTTGGTTTGTAGACATAACGAACCTTAATATCCCGAGCGTTGGTTTGTAGACATAACGGACCTTAATGTCCCTAGGGTTGGTTTGTAGACATAACGTACCTTAATGTCTCTAGTGTTGGTTTGTAGACATAACGAACCTTAATATCCCGAGCGTTGGTTTGTAGACATAACGGACCTTAATGTCCCTAGGGTTGGTTTGTAGACATAACGTACCTTAATGTCCCCAGTGTTGGTTTGTAGACATAACGTAACTTAATGTCCCTAGTGTTGGTTTGTAGAAATAACGTACCTTAATGTCCCTAGTGTTGGATTGTAGACATAACGTACCTTAATGTGCCTAGTGTTGGTTTGTAGACATAACGTCCCTTAATATCCCTAGTGTTGGTTTGAAGACATAACGTACCTTAATGTCCCTAGTGCTGGTTTGTAGACATAACGTACCTTAATGTCCCCAGTGTTGGTTTGTAGACATAACGTAACTTAATGTCCCTAGTGTTGGTTTGTAGAAATAACGTACCTTAATATCCCTAGTGTTGGTTTGGAGACATAACGTACCTTAATGTCCCTGGTGTTGGTTTGTAGACATAACGTACTAAACCGTGGTATGAATATGACATAACGTGCCTTAATATCCCTAGTGTTGGTTTGGAGACATAACGTACCTTAATATCCCTAGTGTTTGTTTGAAGACATAACGTACCTTCATGTTCCTAGTGTTGGTTTGTAGACATAACGTTCCTTAATTACCCTAGTGTTGGTTTGTAGACATAGCGTACCTTAATGTCACTAGCGTTGGTTTGTAGACATAACGTGCCTTAATGTCCCTAGTGTTGGTTTGTAGAAATAACGTACCTTAATATCCCTAGTGTTGGTTGGTAGACATAACGTACCTTAATGTCCCCAGTGTTGGTTTGTAGACATAACGTAACTTAATGTCCCTAGTGTTGGTTTGTAGAAATAACGTACCTTAATGTCCATAGTGTTGGTTTGTAGACATAACGTGCCTTAATGTCCCTAGTGTTGGTTTGTAGAAATAACGTACCTTAATATCCCTAGTGTTGGCTTGTAGACATAACGTACCTTAATGTCCCCAGTGTTGGTTTGTAGACATAACGTACTAAACCGTGGTATGAATATGACATAACGTACCTTAATATCCCTAGCGTTGGTTTGTAGACATGTTTATGTCGATTGCTCGGCGTTGATGAAGACTCCTCGACACTGCAGGATATACAGGTGATTTTCTACATAACATGTGATATGACAGGCACCCCTTAATGTACCTACATAACTTGTTCCACGAACCATCGGTATTAGATTATAGACAAGTGTATTGAGTAGGGTTCCTTCTGAGAGCTATTCCATTCTAAATACCCGCACACAGAAACACAGTTTATAAGGGGGTTGTCCTGTGCAGTTTTGCATGTCAGGGTAGTTCAAACATTAGATACCAGTACATAAAAACTAATCCGTGTAATGTTGTGTCCCATGCAGTTTGCATGTCAGAGCCAACTTCCTTGTTCAGAGACAATGCCGAGGTACGCTGGTTAGGTATATAATGACACACAGATACCTCGATATTACCTCGCCGTTTCAACTCGTGACACAAACACAAAGTCGTAACTACTATCTTGATTTAGGCTTGTGTCTCAATAGCATGACCGATATAGCAGTGACGACGCTGTCGTTATTCCATGTAAACTTTAAAATTGTGTAATAAAGACAAAGCCGGACGGGATTCTACTGATAGCACTTACACAAGGATATAAAGTTTGTATACCGCGTTCATAATTCAGATGTGAATTCCACGTGCTTCATTTTTCGAAATATTTCAATGAATTAAGCAATTCCGTCTTTGCATATTGCAGAGTTATCTTCTCTTGATAACAGGTATTGATTGTTACGTCACTTGTTTAAGAGAGTAACGTCATCAGTTTTTGAGAAAACGACGTGATTTTCTTACACAAACCAATGACGTAACAATCAATACCTGCTCCCAAGAGAAGATAACTCTGCAATACGCAAAGACGGAATACACATTCCGTTTAATGGCCCTCGTCAGAACTACAATATGCCGGAAACTGTACTTATTTTTATGATTTAGTAATTTCCACGCTCTGGTTTTGGCTTTATTTCGTTCATTCACTTTTGTTTGAAAATCTATTTATATTTACCAGACAGCGTGTGTTTTACGACTGCTCCCATGGCGGTGTCGTCAATTGAGCAGAAATAGCTTGACTCTCCGAATCGTATGTGTTTCGTTAAAGGTCTCCGTGTAAATATTTCCTTTGTTAAGTCAAGGTTTTCTTTTATCTAGGAAACGGCCGTACCAATGAAAACCCGGGATTTTTGTTTTTGACTAGAATATGTTTTAGTGCAAACTGTCAAAAAAAACCATTCCTTTGTTAATAGCTTGTCTTAGTTTGCTTTGAATCCTTATTACAGCTTTGCTTCTAAATTCTTGTGTTTTGTAGTAGAAGTGAGAGGGTATCTCTTGTATAGAGTTAACGCAGAAGCATTGTATGTAAATCTAAATTTAGTTATATTGCGTTTAGTAATGTTACGTTAAGATGTTTTAAGATTTAAAACCATTTAATTGTAAATGATTGCTTTATTTTATTTTATTTTTAAATTGTATGTACTTTACAACAATTATGAACAACCTTTTTCTAACTTACCATAACCACTCTTGTTGACCAAGGTGGAAACCAGGTGAACCCGGAGAAACCTAAGCGGTGGAGTTGTTGACCTTTTCAAGTCTGTTCGGGGAATCGGGGAATTGATTACGCTATCCGACCACCCGGACTACGGATTACGTAACAGTCATACGATTGTACTTTAACCCCTGAGCAATATCAATTGCCGATCTGATCATATCAGCAGTACTCGCCTTTCCCTTTAAAATCCGTTTTTATGTCATTGTTCCAAAATAATGGCACCGCATTATTTGATACCAGTTTTGAAGATTGCGTAGATACTATCTTATGATTGTTTTATATCATGCCAATGGATCTGCGTTCTGCAGACAAATCAACATTTTATCTTTTTAAAGACTAGCATCGATTTTGATTCTTGTGCAGTGTGAACCCAATGTATCAATGTTGTAAGTATAAAGGATGGGGCCCTCTTGTTAGTAGAATATAGCGGGGCCATTAGAGGGAGATTAAACAAAT